CCCCTTGGTCTCCTTTGGACCAGCCCCATCCATCCCCCAACCCATCCAAAAAGATAAGAGGAATAGACTTTGGGTGAAAACTAACATATTTTTAGTGATATATACCAAACTAGGGTGATTTTTTCAAGCTTGTGAACATGTATCTCTTTTGGATCGGTTGCAGTGCAAGGACACTTTGCTAGTTTAAGTATTAAACTACATATGACTGCTGAGTGCAATATTCAGGAAATCATTAACTGGTAGCTGCTTGGTTGGCCAATCGGCAGATTAATCAGTTAACTGCTTACTCGGTGACTCTCTGAGCAGCTATTAATCGGACAGTAAACTGATTAATCAGCAGATTTTTTGAACAGTGGCTAGGTGTCTAGATCTGAGGAGAGCCACGAGTTATGGCATGTTCTAGGCTTCTAGCATGGAAAACAGAGAGCAAGGAACTTAGTAAGATACACTATTCAGTTATAGATACACAAGACGGGTCTCATCAGCTAAACATTGTGCATAACACTAGACCTAGGATCAGGTAAGCAAGCCACCACAACACTAATTTGAAAATATGATCAGGCTATAAACATCACTGCAAATATTACAGATCATGATACGATTCTTCAAACTAAAAAGTATGAACAATATAACAGTGCATCATCACAACTAGCCAGAGTATTTAACAGCATTAGAATGCAAATCGAAGAATTCTAGTACTGATACTTACCAGAAAGGTTTTTCTACTGCTGGGGGTTCTGTCCAGGCTGCTGTGGACCAGGCGGTGGTGGCGGCATTCCATGCCTGGGTGGTTGTCCAAACTGCAGTGGTGGCATCGGCCTCATCCCTGGCGGTGGTGGCATGCCTGGCATCCCCGGCCTCCCTGGTGGAGGCCCCATCGGTGGCGGTCCCCTCATGAACTGCTGAGGCGGGCCCCCAGGGTATGGCGCAGGCGGAGGACCGGGCGGGCGCTGAAACTGCATCTGCATCGGTGGCGGGCCACCAGGTCGCATGGGCGGCATACCCATCGGTGGCGGGCGGACGACCTGTGGGTACGCCACCGGTGGCGCTGAGAGGTTCGGCATTGGGGGACGCGAGATCTGGGGCTGCATCATGCCGGGGGCCGGACCGCCCACGCCCCGAACAGGGCCGGAGAGGCCGGGCTGCGCCTGGAGCAGCGGGCCGGTGGCCACCCCACGTCCGGCAGCGCGACCGACGCCAGTGCCGGAAAGCGCGCCACCGCCACCGGAGGCCTTGGCCCGGGACTCGTCGGGCGGTGGCGGGCCCTCAACGGTCATGGAGACGACCTCCTCGCCACGAAGAAGGAGCAGGCCGAGCGTCCTCCGCTCCTCGCGCTCGCCTGTTGTCTTGGAAGATTTTGAGGGCGGAAGCTTGCGGAACTCCTCGCAGTCGCCGAGGACGAGGTTCATGTGGCGATCGAAGGCCATGAACTTCCCCACGAGTTGGCGGCCGTCCTGGATCGTCACGCGCATCCGGTAGTTGACGAACTGGAGCATCTTCGACCCCTTGGGGTTCGACATGGCGACTGGTGCGCCGGCGGCGGCGGCGACGCGCGGCTAGGTTAGGGTTTCGGCAGCCAGGGAGAAGCGGAGAGGAGAGAGGGGTTTTCCTGGGGGTTTGAGTTTGTATGGGTTGGGTCGAAGGGAGCGAACGGGGTGTAGGATAGACGGTGTCGCAATAATAGTCGGTTCGCGCTGGACTCGGCACAGGCCTGGGCCTTCCTGATGGGCCTGGGCGGAGTTCAACCTTCCCAAAAACAACTTTGCCACGACTATATATAAAACTAGCAGGCGGAGGCACGGTTGTGTCGTTTAGAAAGAAAGGCCAATTTAAGTTAGGTACATACCGACAGGTACGAAAAAATAGTTCACCCAGGGTTACAAACACTTGTCTATATAACTTAAATGTTTCAGCCAAAGTTGTTCTTCTTTTTTTTTTTTTGCAAATGAGCCAAAGTTGTTCATATCATGATAGTCAAGTTCAAAAATCGTCTGGTTCAACCAAAAGGTGTACAATGGAGCTTCCTTCGAACCAAAGGAAAATTGTTCTAGTGTACAGTTTAAAGATCTCATTTTACAGATAATATCTTATCCTACAACAGATGAAAATTTGTGTTAGTGAATGAAGCAAGATACAGAAGAAGAAAAAACACCAGAAAAATGAATTAGGAAATATAAAGGATTAACTTTTATAGAAAGGTCCACACTTTTAGGCTCGGTGTTGGCAGGCCTGTCAAAAAACCAACAATATCAACTTTTAATACAAACAAATTTTAGTTCACAAAACAGCAAAAAATGAATGAAAATACTCTAATAAAAAGATAGTACCTTCGGCATTACAGTGCATTGATGATTTCTTTGTACATTATATTTTGGTAATATTTGTTGCGTCCCATAACCCTAAGTTGTGAGAAATGGTACGCATGAGCAACGCAATTAGAGATGCATTATCAATCAAAATCGAGCATAATTCTTACACTGTAAATGATAGTAACTTGGATACTCTAAGGCACATAACTTTCTTTGATTTGTTTATTCTATGGTGTCCTGCGGAAAAAGGTTGCTAGGTACCGCATCATAATTAACCTAACTTTATATAGAAGGTAGAATGAGCAAAAAGTGCTACACCTTGTACTGCTCATAACGTTATATG